AGCCTGAACAGCAAGACTAACATGGAGACACATCCTGAGTGGCATTCCCTTTTGAAGAAGTCAGTATATCATTTCCAGTGCCTAAATTCAGGCAAGACTGCAGTAGAAAGGCAGAAACTTCAGGAACAAAACCTTTGGGACCACCATCATCTGGGTTTATAGTAACAGTCTTTACTCCCCACAGCTGCACAGGGTAACAAATCAAAGCTTCAGAATGCTTCCTCAACAAGTTCAAGCTTCCAACAAAATCCTGGGGGAAAAATTTCTTTCCAGCAAGTAGAAAGCAATCTAGCTTTGACTTGATTACTTTAAGTAGCACACTTTATTTTCTTTCACCTTTCCCTATTTATCCTAAATACATTTCCCTTACCTCTCCTTTAGCATCTTCTTCCCTGGTCAGTCTGTTATACAACTCATAGTAATTCCTAATAATACTAATTCCTAACTGTATCCTTTTTCATTCTTCCTGACCTTTTCTCCCACATTTCAGCCCTAGTTTGTCCCCACTCTATCTCTGGCTATCAGTCTCTCCTCAGCACCTATCCTCACGCTAGTTTTGTTCGTCTCAGCTCAAAAGGTGTCACATTATGTTATCTCCTTCCTCTGCTCACATTTTCTCTTACAGTTATTTCTCTCTCCCATAATTCCTAACTGCTCAGGTAGATATGATTTTCATGCTGAAATTCCATGGACCCACTCTGACTGCTAGGAAGCATTAGAGCAAATTAATCTTGTGTTAACAGTTTACTCCAAAACCTCAGAAGCAGCTAATTCAGTCACAGCCATTAGTAAGTCAATGATTTTGACAAGAGAAGAATTTAAGACTCAGACTCACACAAACTATAGAAAATAGCCCAGAAAGCCAACCGTATCCTGGGCTGCATCAAAAGAAGCATGGCCAGCAGGTCGAGGGAGGGGATTCTGCCCCTCTACTCTGCTCTCGTGAGACGCCACCTGAAATACTGCATTCAACTCTGGAGTCCCCAACACAAGAAGGACATGGAGCTGCTGGAGCGAGTCCAGAGGAGGGCCACGAAGATGATCTGAGGCCTGGAACACCTCTGCTATGAAGACAGGCTGAGAGAGTTGGGGCTGTTCAGCCTGGAGAAGAGAAGGCTCCGGGGTGATCTTATCGCAGCCTTCCAGTACTTAAAGGGGGCCTACAGGAAAGCCGGGGAGGGACTTTTTACAAGGATGTGTAGTGATAGGACAAGGGGTAATGGCTTTAAACTGAAAGAGGGCAGATTTAGATTAGACATAAGGAAGAAATTTTTCACTCAGAGGGTGGTGAGGCACTGGAACAGATTGCCCAGAGAAGCTGTGGGTGCTCCATCCCTGGAAATGTTCCAGGTCAGGTTGGATGAGGCTTTGGGCAACCTGGTGCAGTGGAGAGTTTCCCTGCCCATGGCAAAAGGGTTGGAACTAGATGATCTTTGAGGTCCCTTCCAACCCTAACCATTCTATGATTCTAAAATATTAATGAAAATTTCGCTAATGGTCATTTGGAAGAGGGGAAAAAAAAAAAGCCCATCTGTCTTCCAAATCTAGCAATTAAGATACATGATTAAAGTTATAACTATAGCAAACAATAAAAAGCAAATGAGCAAACAATAAAAAGTGAATGAGCTTTTAAAAGTAAGTCACTAGCCGGAACCCCTGCTTACAAGGTCTTAAAGCTGAATGAGGGAAAGCTTGTGAGGGCAAATGAACAGCCACCACTTCAATGGGTTAACAATATTATTCCTCCCTTACCTACTCCTCTTCCCATGTTACAATTTGTCCTGGGAATAAACAGACAATTGGGTCTCCAGGGCTTCATTTCCCTAACATACTGCCAAGTAAATGAACATTTTCATAAAAAAAAAAAAAAAACCACCACACAGAAAACCCAAACAACAACCAAAGTCCGGCCATAAATAACTGACAACAATACTTCCAAAACTCTAAGCAATTCAAGACACCATTAGACTGTCCTACAAGACACGTTAAGAAATTAATACATCATTTTTAAGTAATCAACAGAACCTGTTCTTTTACTTCATTTGCTGGAATTTTGGAAGCTGTCTATCATGAAAAACTACTTAGTGATCAGATCTTACACTGATCTGATCAGATCTTTCCCTCTTTTCTTCCTCAGTTACACTAAGATTTCTTTTTTTCCCCTGTCGATTTATGCTGAAGTCCAACATTCAGCTTGACCTTTGATGCTACGGCATCCTGTAACTCACTGCTTATACTTACGTTTGGCAACAAGCTGTCTGAAGTGGTGCATGTATCATGTAAAACATTGCACCTATCTGTATCTTTTATCATTCGCTCCTCACATCTCTCAACTGAACAGTTAACCACGTTAGACAAAAACAAGTTCGTCATTTCTGTTACATGACACTTTTTCCATCCTGTCATAATTTACAGAGCTACTGGAAACTAAAAAATGTTGATCCAGGATTATCCAAAACCCAACTTAATATAATCTTGATAAATATCTAAAGTATGAAACAATGCCAGTTGCAGAGACAGTTAACTACTAAGGGAAAGTATGGAAGTGTTAAGATAAGTGATAATGTGTTAGATATAAGCTCAGATGGCTTATTACAGTGAGCCAGAATGACTAAATTTCAGAAACATTTTAGCCAAAGGCTACACTTTGAACTTCTAAATTTTTTATTATCTTTGGAACATGACCAGTTTAGGATTTTCTGCATCCATTTTCAACACATAAGGCAACCGTTTGCTTAACAAACATCATAGCCCTAGGTTTATAAGAAGTGCACACCATATTTACTCTGAAAAGCTATTTTGAAACAAACTTTGATTTCCTATCTGGAAATTATTATTCATATGATTTTTATTTATACGCACATCCAGGTAATTTTTATTTATATGCATGTTAAGCACTGGGATACATAAGATAGTTTTACTACTTAGTTACAATGTTAACAAAATTAGTAATAAATCAACACTGTTAACATAATTTGTATATGGGGAAAAAACAGTACCACAAGTTAGAAATATGAACTATCTTCACATTAAAAGTATAACAATAAGCAAAATTTGGGGGCTAGTAGACCTCAAATTGGTAATTTACAAATGAAAATGATTTGGATAAGATAGCAGTCATATGAAAGACTGTTTCTCTTAGCAGTATGTTTACAGTATCTAGACTTCAGAGTTTATAGTTTGAGATTTGAAAGTTTTAAGCATGAAATACAGAATTTAGTAAATGGCAATCTCAATGCCAGGCAAGCCAAGAAAAAAAACAAAAACCAACAAACGAACAAACCAACCAACCAGACAAAACAATCTTATCTTCTACATGATGAAGCAAAAGGGAATGTACGTTCATACGTTCAGAGATTTACTCCTCCAAAAATAAAATAAAGGTTGCAGGTACAAAAAGAACATGAATCAGGCCACACAGCCCAAGTCGCAATGAGTCTTAGCCCACTTGCTATCCCTTTTCTACACGCAAGATCTGCCAGTTCAGTCCAGAAGGACCTCCTGTAAGACTATGCTACATCGTTTACATCGGCAGAAGGAGACTCTGTGAGCACGGCCTGTTACTCTGCTCTAGGGAAACATCAAAAAGCATTATGAGGACTAAAAGGGGTTCTTTAGTGCTGTTTCTACAATGCTTGTCTACTGAAATCTTTCACTAACTTTTAACAAATGTAGCGGAGGTTTCCCCCACACACACGCACCAGCTTAACTGATTTGTGATGTTATTAACACTGAAACATCTCTATCAATCAAAACATCACCTATTTACCTTAAAGGCCAAATTTGATCAGCAGATGCAACTCATGCCATTCGACACAAATTCACTGTGAAAAGTTATTACCGCAGTAACTAAACTGTCACGAGAGGGTTTCTATTGTATAAGTCTACGAGAGATTGTGTGGCTTTGTGGGTTGTACTAACTGTGGTTACATCTGCTCTTTCAATCGTTTAAAAGCAATTATTTATGAAGTCTGATTGAACAAAAAGAATCAGTTTTACCAGCTTCAACATGCTTAAGTTTACCATCAAACTTAACAGTGTCTTTTGCTTTTCTGGGAGGAGAGGTGTCCAGCTGTATTAGTATCCAGAAAATGAAACACAGGACAAAAGCGTCTGGTAAAGCTGGTAAGTTATTCAAA